ATATGGGCTTGGGAAGAGATAGACTTTAAACCCTTAATTATACGCAGAGTGTACTGAGGTTTGCCCCAGCAGGGTGTTAGCGCAGCGTGAACCGGGGCACTGACCTAACCGAGAGGTATGGGCCTGGGTGGAAGAGTCCCAGTGGGAAGTCCCAGTGAGACAGAGATCTGGAGTGAGAAGGTGTGTATGTGAGGAGGAGGGGAGGGTGTTGTGATACTTGGGTCAGAAGGTTCCAGATGGAATAGACAAAGTATTTGGAGGCTAGAATGATAGAACATACTCTTTTCGGGGCTATGAAAGAAGTTCAGTGTGACAGAGGGGGCTGTAGAAGCACCCAGGGGCCAGAAACAAGGGAGCCTTGAGCTGTGTTAAAGCAGTGTGGGCTTTTCCTTGGGTCGCCAGGAAGCCAGTGTAGGTCTTGAGTAAGGGAACAACATCAGATTTGTCCAGTATCCCTCCGCTTATTTGCAGTTTCACTTTTGACGGTTTCAGTTACCTGAAGTCAACTGCAGTTCAAAAATATTAAATGGAAAATTTCAGAAACACAATTGATAAATTTTAAATTGCATGCTGTTCTGAATGGTGTGATGAAATCTTGCACTGGTGCGTCCAGGATGTGAGTCCTCCCTTTGTCCAGCAGATCCACGCTGTGGACACTTCCCCCAGCCCCCCATAAGTCACCCTTATTTTACTTCAAAGGGCCCCAAAGTGCGAGATAGTGATGCCGGCAATTCAGATATGCCAAAGAGAAGCCGTGATGTGCTTTCTGTAAGTGAAAAGGTGGAAGTTCTCAGTAAGGAAAGAACAAAGATCGTATGCTGAGGTTGCTAAGAATGAATCTTCTATCTGTGGAATTGTGAAGAAGGAAAAAGACATTTTTGCATAGTGTATATTAGGGTTCAGTGAGGTCTCAGGCGTCCACTGAGGGTCTTGGAGTGTATCCCCGTGGATAAAGGGAAGCCCCTGTGCTTTCTGAGGGTGAGCTTGCTGGGCAGCAGTGTGGGGAGTGGACGAGGGGCCTTGAGTAATTTCCAGCTGGCCGGTCATCAGCTTACTGCCATCAGCCTGTCCTGGGTGAGGGCGTGGCGGGGGGAGCAGAGGGAGAGAAGCAGATGTGAGGCGCATTCAGGAGGTGCAGTTGGAGGAATGCTGCTGCTCAGCAGACTGGGCACTGGGTGTACTTCTGGGGAGTTGAGGGTGAGTCCTGGGCCTCTGTCAGTGAGGTGGGCCCTCAGGGAAGCGCAGGTGTGGGGAGACTGCCTGAGGCTGGTTTTGAACACTTGGAGTTTGAGTTGCCTTGGAATCACCCAGGAGGATTTGCAGATTTGGATCTCAGGAAAATAGACTAGAAACTTGTAAAAAGCGGGTGCTAATCAGTCGCGAGCACATAGTCGCTGAGGCTCGCGAGAGTGCGAAAGGGCCTGGAGAGAAAGCAGCCAGCGGGGGCAGCAGCGTGGGGAGGGGCCTGGGCGCTGCGGACAGACAGAGGGGCCCAGAGCCGTGTGGAGCTGGGAGGGGCACTGTCTGAGAGAGAGGTGACCAGCAGGTGTCCCTGCAGCTCAGCGGGATGGAGACAGCTTTGCAGAGTGTTGGGACAGCGATTTCCCATCAGTCAGCCACAAAGTTTAGCTGGGAAGGGGAAGTGTGATTAGGTAGGCGCTGAAAGAGGGCCGGCAGGCAGGTAAAGTGGTCTCATTTAGGTAGTTCTTCTAATTTACAGAGAAAATACTGAATTATAGAGAGTTACTCAGAAGTCAGAGTCCTGCTTGTATTCTAACAAGTTATCAGTAATTCTTTTAAAACAGAAATATTTATCATTTTCAAGTTTCCCGTGTCCTGGAGCATCTGGGCTCACCATACTCGTGCTTGCTCATCAGTCTCTGTCGTGGGTGCTTCTCCTCTCGTTTCAAGGCAAGCCCTAAATGACCCTCCTACTTGGTGTGTTCCTCACAGATTCGTCCTAAATTACTTCCTGAATCTTCAGACCATGATGATCAAGGGCCTGTGGCTTCCCCAAGTGACATGGCTGGAGACCAGACAGCGGTTCATGAGGGTCCAGGTCTCTTCTCTGCCGGCGACTGCCCAATGGAGGCTCCTGCGCCGTCGCCAGGATCGCCCTCCAGACAGCCTGAACTCACTCAGCCATCAGAGCCAAAGCGAGCCGGCCAGGCAGCTGCCTCAAAACAAAGCCCTGCGGCTGATCAGCAACTACCTGCTCTTCCAGGACGTGCTGCTCGTACAAGCCAGTCTCCAAAAAAACCGTTCAATAGTATTATTGAGCACCTGTCAGTGGTATTCCCATGCTACAACAGGTATGAATATAAAATGTCTGTGACTCCGTTTAATACCGTGTCGAACTGAAGTTTCCTGATCAGATAAAGTCATGGCCAATTAGGAGCTAACAGGGAAGGCGTTGCGTAATTGTTTTGCTCACAGAGATAGGTGGTACATTCTTGCTTTTTGTAAATACAGAGGTATTCCCAAATAAAATTTTTAATGTGCATATCTAGATTGACAGTGTTGACCTCTGAGTAATCACTCCTCAGAGCCCATGACAGTTTGCTTAAGATTTTCATGAAATCAATAATACTCTCCAAAACTAGTTGTTATAGAATCAGTGAATGAACTGCAGAATGATAGTTTTGTGTCATTTGGGTGGGAGGCAGGGGAGGTACCACATACGGCAAAGAAGGCAGCAGCAACTCACACCTCGTGAGACAAGACCTCTGAGTTGTCAGAGGTGTGAGGTTGAGACCAGATGGAGTTCCATAGTGACGAGCGTTGTGCACGTCCGGACAGGCCTTGTGGGTGTGGGCAGAGCTGCAAGCAGGGCTGGGAGGGTTTTGAGCTCTTCAGCAGCATTTCCGCCTCCACCTCTGCTTTCTGCTCTTCAGGCTGGTGCAAGGGGTCCAGGTGCCCCTTGTCTCAGCTGGGCAGGAAGACGAGGTGGAGCAGTGTGTCTGGGCGCAGTGCAGAGCAGAGGCCTCTGCACGCAGGAATGACCCTCTGTGCCTGCCCTGTTACTTCTGTTTCTGAGACAATGTCAGTTACAGGCTTTGCAATTGAAATCTGGAAACAAAGCTGTAGTTAAAATATAATAGGATTCATGTTTTATTAATGTTTTATATTGGTACAGCCCTGCCCATTTGAAAATAAGTATATTTTGTCTGCACATGGGCATATTTTGCCCTAAGTCTGAGAAACATAAGTTCTCTCAATAGTAATCTCCATGCCAGTTGTAAAAATATTCAAGTTGTAATTATCAGAAGTACTCTACAAATAAGATTGTTTGCAATCCTGATTAAATTTGGCAGAGATTAAACCATCAAGTAAAAATGCATCCTAATTTTCTGAAAGTTAAAATATTTCGAGTAACAGTGGTACAAATTGCAAGTTCCTATTGACTGTAATGCCCATCTGATGGTACTTGTGAAACACTTAGGCTTTGAACCTTGTTGATTAGACTTTTCAAGGGAGGAAGTCTATAAAACTAGTTTCCTCTTGGACAGAAAGAATTTATTGATTTCAGTTTGGAACCAGTGTTGTGTCCGATTGTTCACTGATTTTGCATAAAGCTATGATAACATCTAGGCTACAAAGTCAGTTTTCTAAATAGAGATTGATATCCTAAATGGATCTACCAGATGTGTAATTACTTTGAAATTCTATTGAAATAAATATTTAGAAGTAATATTGAAATTTCATAACTGCTTTGGAAAGAGCAATTCTGCCTTAAAATTAAAATGGTTCTGCTTTTTATATGCAGTTACTATTGTTATCATTGGGTCTACAAATTAATTTTCTGTATTTATTTTTGGTTCTTTGGGCTGGACTGTTGGGTTAATATCGGCACACAGCATTTCGCAGCGGAGAACTTGACTGTGTTGTCATTTATCACTCACTTTCCCTTTCAGCACCGAGCTTGCTGGTTTTATCAAAAAAGTGCGAAACAAAAACAAGAACTCACTCTCAGGATTGAGTATTGATGAAATTGTCCAAAGAGTGACAGAACACATTCTAGATGAACAGAAAAAGAAAAAGGTATTTCACCCAGATACACTAAAATGTTCCACGTCATCCTTATTTATAAAATATGAGAATTGTAAAAAAAAAAAAAAAAATGCTTTAAAATGTGGAAAACAATTTACTAATGACAGAAGATGGTCAAGCTTTTAGGTAACTGAATTTTGCTTTCCTCTTGTGCCCTGCCCCTCCCACCCGTTATCTCTGTAGCCAAATCCCGGGAAGGACAAGAGGACATCTGAGCCCAGCGCTGCTGCCTCTGTGACCAGGTCCTCCCAGGGCCCCCCCTCGGGGATTCCCGGACCATCGCCCAAAACCAAGGGGCAGAAAACGGAAGGTGTCCCTGTGAGTGTTGTGTGTATAACTGTATAGTTTTGTTTCTTAATGAAGAACAGGAAGGAAAGAAAATTCTGAAGCCCTGATTTAGCTCCATTCTTTTCATTTCTAAACCTAATTTATTTGATCCTAAAATTAGAAGCCAAATTTCAGTCTACTTGAGTGGTCCAAATAGAACAGCCATCGAATGGCTGAGGTCAAGTCTCTGCTCTGACGAGTGCCTTGGGGCCCAGCGTGGAGCCCTGCACATGAGTGACAGGAGCTCTGACCACACCGGGGGAACCTTCTCTCCCCTGCCCTTGTTTTGCTGCAGATGGTCAAGTATGTTAACTTTTTATATCCAGTGCGATATTTTGAATAGTTGGGGAAAATAGTTTTTGAATAATTTTCGAATAATTTTCTTCTGTGTAACCATGGGCTTTGGAATCGCACAGACTTGGTCCCATCACTTGACACCCAGAGCCCTGCTGACATCTGCTTGCCCGGCCGTGCTCCACAGCGTGACCGGGGCAGCTCCGCTCAAGAAAGGCTGGTGGCCGCCCTTTGCCTATTCCCTCGAACGCCTGAGAGGGACGCTGGCATGGGCCGAACTGGCCTGGAATTACATATATTGATTTAGGTTGTTTTTTTCCCTCTTAGATAGTAAGAGTGTTACAGTTACATAGAACTTTGCATAAAATACTACAGATCTGAACGGATAGGCATCATAATTGTCTTTATTTTATAATAAGGAAACCAGGCACAGATGGCTCGTGCAGCTTGCCAGCATCGGCTCGTGCTTGAAGGCATGGATGTAGCTCAGAGCAGGCCCTTTGACTTGTTTGTGCAGAGTCACTCCCTAATCCTCGCCACACAGCGAGACAGTGCAGGAGGAACCACACGTGAGGTTCAAAGAGGCCCTGTCACCCGTGTGGCTCAGGGATGGCATTCTGGTGTCAGAGTGTAGCTGATGTCAACATGAGGAGAGCTGTAGACCCCGTAACGCTCTCAGCAGGGAGCCAGCAATACGAGACTGTGCAGTGTGGCTTGCTAACTTGAGCTGGCATCGAGTCTTTGTGAAGTTAGGTTTTTATTCCTCCTGTACATTTTCACTTTCCACTCCTCTTTGGAGATTTTCCACACCACATACACTTGGCTCCCAGAGGGTCTCATCCCTGCTCTCACCCCAGTGAGAGCCTCTGAGCATGTAGGGCATCCTTGCAAGACCTGGCTGGAGGCCCCCCGTCCCAGGGCTTTCCCCGATGGGTCATGTGCCCTGTGATCATCCCACCAGGCAGAAGTCAGGGCATCCCCATCCACGTCTCTCTCTCTCTCTCCCTCTCTCTCTCCCCCTCTCCTCTCTCCCATGGGCCACCCCCATCCTGAGATAGCCCGTGATGCCTGGAAGAGAGACCTCTTTCTGCTTCATGGTGGGTGTTTATAATAATTAAGATGTAAAAGCTGACTTAAACTTTACCAAATTGTATGACAAAGAAAAATATGTATTCAAACTGGGACTGAATTTGATCATAGGTAGTTTGTTAAAAATTAAAAGCATTATATTTTTAAAGTACAAAAGTAATACATGGCTCATAATACAAATAAAGAGGGCATTTTCCATAAACCCAAAACCCACCCTCTAACAAGGATTACCACAATGATACATATTTTCCTGTACTCTTTTGTATGCATATGTGTGTGAATTTAGTCAAAGCTGAATACTTGAGTCATGCTTTTTATGTTCTTTGGGGGCAGGAATTTTTGTTGTCTATCTCTCTTAGTCGTGGTTGTCTTTTTTTTCTTTTACTTACAAATATACGGTGCCCATCATTTGTAGGAAACAGGAAACAGTCACATTAACTGTAGATTTTTCAAGCTAAACCTAACTCTGAGCTTTGCAGAGGGCGTTAGAGAGGCCTCAACCTGTCCTTCCCCAGGGCTGACACCTCTTTCTTCCCTGACCCTCAAGTCACGGGCAGTAGTAGAGGAGCCTGAAACCCTCACTCTGTGGTGTCTGCCTTCTCTGCCTGGGCCATGTCACGTGCTGGAAATACAGCAAAACCCTGGCCAGCAGCTCTAGGTTTTAGTAGCCACTGGGCGCAGCCCCTAGCGCCACTCCCTGAACTTGCTCCCACGGCCAGCGCTGCCTGCTGTCATTCGCTCACTCATAGATGTTTTTGGAGCATGGGTTCGGGGCTGGGTTCCTTACTGGCTGCTAAGGACACAGATAAACAAGACTCATTTCCTGCCTTCGAGGTGCTCAGGGTTCAGAGGCGAGTTAGCGTAGAAATTGGCGATGCAGCGTGGGGTCGGTGTCCTGGGTCTGCTCTCACGTCAGAAACGCCGTCTGTGCTCACCAGACTGCGGGCGCTGGGAGCTGGAAACCTTCCATTCGTCTCTGTGTCCAGTGCCCCACACAATCCCTGACCCCCTGGACATTGGCCCGACGAGCCATCAGTTTGTTTTGTTTTGATTTGTACAAGTAATCCATGTTCATAGAAACTTCGGCAAACAGTAGAGAAAAAAATTAAGTCTCCCTTAACCAGGGGTAACCACTGGTAACATTTTGTATATCTTTCCAGACTCTGTTCTAGGCATCTATGTATGCACACATTCTCTTGACATTTAAAAAAAACTCAACCATGTGGTACATCCTGCCTCGTAACCTACTTTTATTCAGCCGTCTGTCGTGGCCAGCTCGCTGTGTCGGGCATTAGGGACTTCCCTCTTGATTTCACTTGGCCACACAGTAGTCCATTGTGAGGATGTGTTGGAATTTACTCTCCCCAACTGTGAGATAATTAGACATGATTAATTTTTAATATTAAGCTAGTACCATACTTTATATAAAGTATAAGATAAATAGACATTTGTAGTATTTCACCTGGGACTCTGTTAACCATATAAAACAGTTTTTTCTCTGAGAAAATTAGAACTTCGAAAGTATTCTTTTTTGGTATTTTTTTTTCTTAAGAAATGCTATTAAAAAATAAGTTGTTTCCTCATCCTGCTTAGCTGTAATTGGGAATCACTTGCCACCTTTTGTGCTAAAAAATGAAGTCCACTCATAGGAAGAGTTCATGTCCTTAAAAAAAGATTAGCTATTCTTTATTATTCAGTTACGTTTACTTCCACAGGCATCGGGCGCAAGTTCCTGTGAATTATGCCATGAGGTGTTCAAATCAAAAAATGTGCGTGTGCTAAAATGCGGGCACAAGTATCACAAAGGGGTAAGAATTCTCTTTAATCTTCCTTATATCATGCTCTGTATTTTCAAAATAAAAAAGGAATTTTTTTCCCTAGGCATCTCTATTTCTTGTGTTTTTGAGCCATTTTTCTTTTCTTTTTTTTTGAGACAGAGTCTCACTCTGTTGTCCGGGCTAGAGTGAGTGCCGTGGCATCAGCCTAGCTCACAGCAACCTCAAACTCCTGGGCTCAAGCAATCCTCCTGCCTCAGCCTCCCGAGTAGCTGGGACTACAGACATGCGCCACCATGCCCGGCTAATTTTTTCTATATATTTTTAGTTGTCCAATTAATTTCTTTCTAATTTTAGTAGAGACGGGGTCTCGCTCTTGCTCAGGCTGGTTTTGAACTCCTGAGCTCAAACAATCCGCCTGCCTCGGCCTCCCAGAGAGCTAGGATTATAGGCGTGAGCCACCGCACCCGGCCGAGCCATTTTTCTTTGTAAACCTCCCGATGTCAGTGTTCACTGTCTCCCTGTCCAAAGACTGTTGCTGTGGGAAGGGGAACAAAGTTTCTGGGCCCTGGCAGATGTCCCTTCCATCACGCCATGGGTAGAAAAGAACCCCAGCAACTCTTTGATGCTGAGACTCAAAGCAGTATTAGTTCTGTGCAAGGCGATTTCGTACACACGTGACTGAGTGGATAAGCAGTACAGCTCTTTTCTTGATTAGTGTAGTGTATGAAGTCAGTTTAACATTTGGGAGGAGAAAAACTAAACCTAGCTGGGTCCCTTATGCCTGACCCTGGGAGATTCCAGCTCATACCCTTCCAAGATTTGTGTGTTAACTATCTTGGCGTTCTCGGTACCATGAGCATTTGTCCCTACACCCCTGCTGCTGGGTTAGAACAGATCAGGTCTCTGCCATGTTGATTTATTAATCCTTTAGAAAGGGATGAATACAGCATATTCACTAGAGGAATCAAGATGACTTGCAGAGTCTCTTGCATGGTCCACGTCCTTCGGGTGCCCGGGCTCTCCAACTTCCCACACACCCCCAACCATGTGGGCAGCAACAAGTCAGCCAGGAGCAAGAGGGAACACAGCGTGCAGGCTGGTGGGACGTTCTATAACTAAGGGGCAAGACCAGGCAGAGCAATGGGCTAAGAACGGGCTAGGAGCAGGCATTGGTCAGGCCCTGAGTACTGGACAGCTCCAGGCCCGAGAGACTTCGAGACACAGGTTCCTCACGGTCCTGAAGCATCTACTGATTTTGTTTCCTCCTTTTCAGTGTTTTAAGCAGTGGCTTAAAGGGCAGAGCACTTGCCCAGCCTGCCGGGACCGGGATCACCTGTCAGAAGAGTAGCCTGCACCTTCTGGAAGAGGCCAGCCCGGTGAAAATCAGGAACCATCTCCCCGCTGCTCTAGGTAGTCACACTTCACTAAAGAGTAAATCACTCGTGTGTTGAATTGGAAGAATGACAATACACTACCTTTGGTATAAAAGCAAACATTGGAAGACCCTCCTGCATTGTGTATCACAAAGTTAATAACTGGAACTCTTTAATACAATTAAGTAATTTCCCCACTATGATTAAACACGTCAAAGGTAGCCAAGTAATGCCTGATAGAGTGACACAGGACCACATTCTTACATTGCTGGGGCTGCTACAGAGGGGCTCTTTGAGGTGGTGGCTTCTTTTGGAAACTGTTGTGAGCACCTTAAAGCAGTGTTTGAGTTACAGGAATTCTTAACATATTCAGGTGCACCAGGTTCCCCTTTTATGTTTGAAAAACCTGCTCTAGTAGTTCCACAAGAGAGACGGTATCAATCTTTTAAAAATTTTTAGAAGATTCTGTATTCCTGAAAATATGCCAACATTTTTCCTCGAAGATTATGCATCTTAAAAATGGGCATAAGCAAACTATATTTTAATAATTTGTAATTTTAAAATATTGGCTGATTTAGACCAAAAGATTCAAGTCTCCTCTTCATGAAATGCCATGTGCTTTCAGTTTTTTCATTTCATTATTTTATGTCCCCCCCTTTGATTTTTTAAATGTTTATTTTTCATCTTTTAAAGGTTAAATCTGATTTTTGAAAATCAGTTATAGAACACTTTTTTTTTTATCAGTATCAACCAAGACTTTTTACCCCCAAAGTTGAGTCTGTGTACTCATCATACCAGCCCTACATTTGGAACTTTTTCTCCAAATACACTATTAATCTTACTAGCAGCATTTGTCCTTTGTGAGTCAGTCAACAAGTGCTTGGGTACCTACAGCCAGCGCAGTGCTGAGCACACAACAGGCTGTGTGTGCAAACAGTTACCATCATTCTCCTTCCTTATCCCGCCACCAAAAAGAGAAACTTGTGTAATTAGACAATCCCGAGGTGTCTGTGTTACAGTTGTTCAGTATTTGACATTTGTGTAAAGTAATGCATGCAATCTCGTACTTCTGAGGCCTGAGATCAAAACTGTAACTGCATTAAAAACTATTTAAAAATTAGGTATTGTTTTGTGGCGTACAGTGGTAAATATAGAAATATGAGTTCTGAACACATTCCATTTCTCTCAAACATGAAGGATCAAAAAACGTTTTTCAGTGTGTTCTTTGTTTCACTGGAAACTTAAGGGTCACGAGTTTTTGAGCTCATTGGTCACCTTCCTCTTTGTTCACTGTGAGTTTTGATGTCTTAGTGATTTAGTCTGTAGAAGCTCACTCCTTATCTGGAAACGGATTCTCCATGGGGGTCCCTAAAACGTTGTCTGTATATTCGTAAGAATTGAGAGCTGTGGATGTTGAGATACACGGCGACCAGGTTGTAGCAACAAGTACAAAGGAGAAGAAGAGCGTCTGAGTGAGTGTTTTGTACCTGACCTAAGAAACTTGTGAGCATACCTTACATTTGTCCAGTAACTGTCCCAATAAAGAGTATTCTAAAACAGTGTTTACTGTCATTCTTGTCCATTCTTTATCAGATGATTTAAAAAATGCATCTACTTGAAAATTCAGGACAGGTGTGTTACGCTAACATTTAAGAAGTGACTTTATTTGGAAAGAACAGGCATGCCGTGCTATGTCTGAGGAGTCTGACCAAGGATTTTAGGGCATTTTAGAGCCTGGATCAAATATTCCTTCGCACCTAAATAAAGCTTGCCAGACTCAGTCTCACAAGATTGACTATCTAAACTTGTGAATGGAAAGTTTATACAGAGATTATAGAGAGTTTACTGTTCTAGGCTAAATTAAGAGATTTTTAAAGTGAATGCATACAAGGATTTGAAGATAAACTGCATTCCTCAGTGTCGATTTATTTATTTTTTTGTGGCATTTGTGGATTTATGAACCACTGAGGTTGATTGAAGGGTTTCCTTTTTAGAGGAGCCCAGAGGAGTCCGCTGAGCACTAAAAGATTAAAGAAAGCAAATTTTAAAAATCTGTCTTCTGTTTATTCATGTGTATTCAAAGTATTATCAGCATATGCTTTTAATCTGATGGCATTTAATTTAAAGCAATGACTATTCCTTAAGAATTCAGATTTTTGCCTTACCAAGCTGCTTAATCCAATATACGATTGAAGTGGTCCCCAGCAGTGCTAAACGTGACTGCATTTCAAGGGTGGTTTCAAAGCCTACAGCAGCCCCCCCTTGTTCTAGGTTTCACTTTCTGCAATTTCAGTTACCCGTGGTCAACTGTGGTGTGAAAATAGGTGAGTATAGTACAATGCAATGAGATATTTTAAGAGAGACCACATTCATTACTTTTATTACAGTATCTGCTTTATTAGTTATTACTGTTATCTCTTACTGTGCTAATTTATAAATTAAACTGTCATAGGTATGTATGCATAGGAGAAAACATAGTATATATAGAATTTAGGACTATCCGTGCTTTCAGGCATCCGCTGGGTGGGGGGGGGCCTGGAATGTTTCCTCCATGGATAACGGGAGATGACTCTGTGTGTGTGTGTGTGCGCGCGCGTGCGCGTGCAGGGGGTCGAGGCAGGTGGTCAAAGTGATCACACCACAAATGGAAGCAATAAAACTATTTTAGACTGGTTTTCCAATCACATGACTAGAGAAATGGATAGGGAACAGGTAGGACAGATAGTAGCAAAGGTGGAAATTCCTGTCATCAACGTGAAGTACTCATGAGGCTGAAAAAGCAGAGGCAGTAAAGTGACAGCGTGGCTTGTCAGAATGAGGACCAAAAAACATCTCCAGAATGACCACAGGAGACATGGGAAATTGTCCCTTCCTATTTCTCCCCTTAAAGGTGAAAAAAGATACTATTTAGCAAAAATGCAGAAATTGACGACACTTTTAAACTAGAAAATCGTAATGAGTCATCCGGTCAAGTCAGACCAACCATCAAGGCAGAAAATGATTTTTAACTACATTAAGGATGATAATTTGGCATATGCACATGGAAAGAGAAAGACCTGACTATACAAAAACATCAACTCCAAATGGGTCATAGTCCTAAATATGAAAAGTATTAAATAAAATAACGCGGCTTCTACAAGAAAACAACCTTCCTGCCCTTGGAATAGGCAGAGATTTATTAGGAAACAAGAAGCACTAACTGTAAGAATAAAAAGCTGATGAACTGGACTTTGTTGCAATGAACTCTACTAAGTTACCACTGAGAGAGTGCAGAGACAAGCTCGAAGCGGGAGACATTGGTGATACTTCCAACAAAAGACCCCTCCCGAACGTGTAAAGAGCTACTGTCAATCAATAAGAAAAAGATAACCAGTATATTTGTTTAGAAATAGATTTGAATAGGCACTTCACAAATAAATAACCAGATGGTTTGTGGGCATTTTGATAGCCAGATTTGTTCAATATCCATCATCAAGAGAATGTAAACTAAAAGCGTCCTGGCAAGGTATTGTAAGTTGTTCTGACGTTGCCTGGTACTGGCAAGTAGGATCACCTACTTTGCAAGAAACTGCCTTTCTCCATGGCACAGGTGAAGCTTGGGGTGTGGGAGGCAGCTCGTACCAGTCTCAGTAACGGGAGCCAACTGTTAAATTTTCAGGAATTTTTGTGAGCTGGTTATTAAATACAGCTGCTATTTAAAAACAGAATTATATACACTTAACTGTATTAAAAACAAAAGTACTTCGTGATGACTACAGTTTATCATGGCGGTTTACTGATGTACGTAGGATCTGTATGGGGGAAATACTACACAATGCATCTCTTCCCAACTCTGGGTTCAGTGGTGTCACACTGATAGCCCGAAATCGACTACGGAGGGAGTATTTACACCACAAAAATTGGCAAATGCTGCATAGTGGGGCTTTTGCTCCCCCTGGAGACTGTGTTGAAGCCTGGAGTTTCGCCTGAAGGAGAAACAGCTGGTCTGATGGTGCCAGACATGCCCTTTGTAACATTTGAAATGGTTATTAGAGGACACCATTGACAAACCTTCCTTTGTCCCCATCACGCCTGGCCCTGCTGCAGGCCATCCTCTGCCAAAAACAAAGGAAAGTACCTTCTGCCTGGGGCCAGACCCTGCCCGCAAGGGTGCAGGTAAATCCACAGTAGGTGCGTTTCCGCAGTGCTGAGCAAGACACCACCATGAGGACAACTCCAAGCCAGAGGTGACTCATCTCACCTCAGAAGGACAGCGCTTGAAATTGGGCCAGTCCCTCGGCCTTGCCAAGAGCCTTTGAAATGGAGCGGGTAGTGTGCGTGACCGGGCTTCTGTGGCAGGGCCCTTCAAAGAGGAAAACCTGCTCCTTCTAATACGTGCTTTTCTGTCAGACAGAGGTGTCATTGTTTTCAGCAAATACCTGGGGACTCCAGTGAATAAATACCATTCTGTTTTCTAACTGTTTCCCTCTCCATTTTTCAAAAGTTATGTATAAAGGCATTTTGCCTAATTCCTTCAGTCCTCTATTTCAGCTTCTATTTATTTGGTGTGATAGAAAGCTCTTAATTTAGATCTCCCTGCCACCAGTTCCAAGAAATCTGCCACCAGCTCCAAGCTCCGTGTCCTGAAGTGCCACCCCATTCCAGCGGGGTGAGCCAACAGCCTCTGAAAAAAGAGCAACTGAACAGACGGACATTGTGCTTCCAGACGCCGGCTGCTGCCCCAGCGCCAGCAGGACTCCGGCTTTTACTGGGGCCTTGTTGGAGGCCTCGCTGCTTTCACTTCCAGTTTCAAAACTACCACAGCCACTGACTGCCAGACCTTTGAAAGCTGAGGCACAGCACTCGCCAGCCCTTCCTGGGATCACACCCTGTTTCCTGCAGAGCCAACAGCTCCTCCCCGCTCCTCCCTGCCCCTCTGGGGACCTCTCCTAGGGCGGCGGGCCTGGTGCCCTCAACCTCATCCCCTTTCTGCCTTCACTTGTCCCAGGGGACCTTGGTGCAGCCCTCTGTTCCCTCCAGGAGTGAGCCGCGGGGGCTGCCGAACGCCAGCACCACCACCTGTTCGTTTGCTCGCTCATCCGTTCGTGTCAGATCCACCCGCGCAGGTGCTGTGCTGGGTGCAGGAGCACAGCAGGGGGCAGAAGAGACAAAGGCCGCATCACTCCAGGAGTGGAGACTGATGTCAGCTATGATAGTAAAATACGTGGAAGGTCACTGGGGGGCGATGGCCTGCGACCAGCAGTGTGGCGGCATCTCGGCCTCTGGCAGGCCCCAGCTTGCTGGCCTCGGTAAATGTGAGTTCTGCTTGTGACCTTAGACACAAGGGGCTTGGTCGGGGCCAGGCGGAGGGCATTTCTGCTGCACTTTCACCTGTTCTCCATCAGCCCCTCACCGAGCCCCTGCTTCCCCCAACACCCCTCCCCCTTTCTCCTCCAGTGCCTCAAATCCTGCACTTGGTCAGGCCTGCCAGTGAGTCTGCCCTCCAGGGTAAGAGCCACACACCACACACTGGCTGTGGTGGCCTCTGAATCTGGTGCTCCCAACCCCCATGTGACCGTCCTCAAAACCCCTCAACCCAGGCTCCACCCCTCACTGCCTCCCAAATGCTACTTACCAACGGCCACATCAGGCACTGCTTTGCAAACATGCAACATGG